AATGGCAGTGTGATAGGGTGTTTTATGAGGCAATTGCCACACCACCGATTAGGTGGTGGTATACCTTGGAACGGATATAACAATTACATACCTATGGGCTATGGTTACTATTTGCAGTAAATCGTAAATAGTTTACTTACATATATTTTATAGTGTATAATAACGTGGTATTGTGGTAATACTGAGGTGGATTGATTAAGAAACCAGAAAATATCAAAACAAATCAATTTTTTGGTTAATCGAGATAAAAAAAATATTGATTGGTTTTAAATTTTCTACATTTACCTATATTTAAAAAAAATCTATAGACTCCTACATTCATTTGATTATTAGTCACATCACTTGGCTTCGTATTTGAATGTTTGTTGTTGTTTATGTGAATTCATGGATAGCAAAATAACAATAGCTATATTAATAAAATATACGAGGCATATATATAAGTAATTTTATTATTTTCTGGTCCTAGTGATATCAACATGACAATGTGTATTATTGTAATATGATATATTTTTTACAAATCTGCCGCCCCTCAAATCACCTTAAAAATTGTCGCCCCGTTAAATGCGGCTCTGCTGCAGTTACTAGTTACCTACCTAATTATAAATAATTTGTGTTTTTATAATTTCTTTAGGTATGATCAAGTATTTATATAGTACAGTCAGTAAATAGGAACATATTGATGAAATAGATCATGATAATGATCATCGATTATTCAAAAATATAGGAGGAAGAATTGTTTTTAAATTATTGTGTAGATAGTATGAATAGGGGTATGAATTTTATTGATACCTAAATAATAAACAAAAATATTTAACAATTAATTAATCATAATATTATACCATACATTAAAATAGTTATACACGTGTAAACAAATTTGATTCTCATATGTAGATAGTTATAAGTATAACATAATATAATTATTGCCTCCTTAAAAAAAGTGTAAATTAAATTGTGAAATTTTAAACATCTAGATTTTCTATCCAAAATGTATTAAACATTGCTCTCAATTGAAGTTTTTTTGTATATATTAATATAGGTAATAATTTTAATAATTATATTTTTCAGATTTTTATGCAAAGCTGGAGAAAAAGTAAAGATAACTGATGTAGAAATTAAAGTCGAAAAAGATTTCATTGAGGGGTGTAAATTTGAAGGAACAGTTGTTAATGAACACTACTCATTAGAATTCATTGCTCGTATGAATTCTGACAAAATTAATAACTTTAGGGAAAAACTTTTAATTTGCAAAGTGTGTGGTAAAAATTTTTCTAATTCATATAAACTTTTTGAGCATAAGGCATTGCATAYTAAAGCTGATTATCAAAAATGCAACATTTGCAATTTATTATTTGATTCAAAAGCACTTTTAACAAGTCATATGAAGATTCATACCTGTAAAAACAAGAATACATTTGTTTGTGATATTTGTAAGGAAWCATATTTTATGAAATCATATTTAATAAAACATTTATTGCTTCACACTAGAGAAAACTCTTATGAGTGTAAAGTCTGCAATAAAAAATTGTATTATCAACTAGATTTTGACATCCATATGAAAACACATACCAAGAAAAAACTACATAAATGTGATTACTGCGATAAAGCATTTGTTCAGAAATCAACATTTATTAGTCATATGAGGACACATACTAGTGAAAAACCTCAAAAATGTGATTTTTGCGATAAAGCATTTGCTGAGAAATCAACATTAATTAGTCATATGAGGACTCATACTGGTGAAAAACCTCATAAATGCGATTACTGCGATAAAGCATTTGTTCAGAAATCAACATTAATTAGACATATAAGGACACATACCGGTGAAAAACCTCATAAATGTGATTACTGCGATAAAGCATTTGCTGAGAAATCAAAATTAAATATACATATAAAGACACATACTGGTGAAAAACCTTATAAATGTGATTCCTGCGATAAAGCATTTGCTGAGAAATCAACATTAATTAGTCATATGAGGACACATACTAGTGAAAAACTACATAAATGTGATTACTGCGATAAAGCATTTGTTCAGAAATCAACATTAATTAGTCATATGAGGACTCATACTGGTGATAAACCTCATAAATGCGATTACTGCGATAAAACATTTGCTCGGAAATCAACATTAATTAGACATATAAGGACACATACTGGTGAAAAACCTCATAAATGTGATTACTGCGATAAAGCATTTGTTCAGAAGTCAACATTAATTAGACATATAAGGACACATACTAGTGAAAAACCTCATAAATGTGATTCCTGCGATAAAGCATTTGTTAACAAATCATATTTATATGTACATATAAGGACTCATACTGGTGAAAAACCTCATAAATGTGATTCCTGCAATAAAGCATTTGTTCAGAAATCACATTTAATTAGTCATATGAGGACTCATACTGGTGAAAAACCT